AGGTTCCCACTCTGTGTAGGAGTGGATTCTCACCTTGGATAGAGTCTGGGTTTCAATCCTGCACCCTTCACCCCAGCAGACCATGCAAATGAAGGACCCAACTCACCTCAAATGCCCGCAAAATGACAAAGCTCGCTTACCTTTCCAGGTTTCTGTTTCCACTAGGTTTTTGACTTTTAAGTGTATCTTACCTTCTAATCAGAACACCAATGCCTTTCATGGTGTTAAACATTTTCCTGTTTAATACATCTGAGTTGTGCTCAGTGCGAGGGTGGGTGTGGCTGCCGTCAATCAGGGGAGCTGCTGTGGGAAATGGTTCTTATTTTCTAACCTTGTTTATGATTCTCTTGTCATCAAGAAGTGGTAATTTTGATGTAGGCAAGTGGAGCTACCTTTTCCTTTATAATGATAACTTTTGGTCTTGTTTAAGAAATCTTCTCTTACTCTCAATCATAAATACAAAAACACATTCTCTGTGTAACGTAAGGAAGGACCTATTTTTGTCCCTATGAAAAACTATGCATGGGTCAAATTGGGCTCTTGACCAGTTTTTGTATGCCTTTGTGAGTGACGCATGGCTTTTACGTTGTTGAAAAGATACATGAGTATGCCAGTGTATATTTATATGTATCTTTTCAACAATGTAGAAGCCATGCGTCACTCATGTGCACGTGAAGAATATGTGTCAGAGATTGTGTGTCACCTGCAAAGTCTAAAATATTTATTATACTCATTATCTGGGCCTTTATACAAAAAGCCTGCAGACTCACGGATTAATCACTTTTTTCCTCACTTATTTGCTATATTTTAACTCCCCACTTGTACCTGGAGTTTTGGGCGGCCCTCCATTCTGTCTCATCCATCTCTTTGCTTGTTGTCAACTCCAAATACCACACTCATGACAATGGCTGTTTCCATCATGGAAGGACGTGAGCCGAAAGACGTGAGCAGGCAGGCTCCGTCCTCAGAGTGGAACTGGGGAAACCGGGTGGTTCGGACTTGTGCCTCCTTGCCCAATGGTAACTAGAGGCACAGGAATGCAGAGCTCACGAGTGCACCTCCCTGTCCCAGAGATGCACTGGACCGTGGAATTGGATTTCATTGATTAATTTGAGACTGTGGGCTGTGCCCTATGGAGCATGAAACACCTGAGCCTTGATCCGGGGAGCTCCTGGCAAAGGGCCAATGAGTGGTGAAGTCCGGGAGCACAGAGGTGATGGGGAAGAGCAGCAGAGAGAAGCCTGGGTGCCGTGCACACCGTTCCCCTGGTTGCTGGTGTCTGCCTTACAGCTTGAGGCCTCTGGGGGGAGGGGTGCCTGCTCACTTGGCCATGAAGCATGTTCTTGTTTGACGGGGTGGCACGCTTAGTAATGAGAGCACTGCTTCCCAAGTGAGACAGAGACACACACCTGGAGGTGGCGGCCAGTAGTACAGGCACCGGAAGCTTTCACCACGATCCCGGCCCTACTCTGTGGGAGCCGGAGGACCCTCATTATTCCCCATGGGGTCGAGAGGAGGGTGAGAGGAATCCTATAAACATATTCTTTCCCCGATGAGCCTGTGAGAAGCAGGGCGCACACCTGTGGGACCCTCTCCTTGGAGGAGGCCAGGGCGAGCTTGAGGAGGTAGGGTGGTCAGTGGCTTTCAGCCGGCATCAAGGTACGTGACAAACGCCTCGCCTGCTCCTTCTGTGAGCTTCCCACCGGACTCCAGGTCACATGGTGCTCCCTGGCCTTGGTCAATGAGCATTTGGGGTCCCTGCTGAAGCTGCTGTGGGGCTTTTTCCTGAATGTCCTCCTGTGAGTCTATAGACAGAGGCTTTCTGCTGGTCTTACATCTGAGTCTGCGATACAGGCTTTTCTTGAAAGACCTACAGAGAGGGACCGAGACTGGAAGCTGTGTCGAGCGGAGGAGTCATCTTTAAAACCTGGACTTCAAATGGCAGCTTATGTGTTTTGTGTTGTTTTTAAGTAAACCACCATTCAGGCCAGCTACAAGTAGCAAGTTAGACACAAATACGGAAATCCAGATTGACCTCAGAAACACGGCCGTGAGTAAAAACAACTTGAGAAAAAGACATCTCTGTGGTCAGTTCCCGCAGAGGCATTGCACACATTTAGAAGCACACGTGCTATTGAAGGGTGCTTGTCCCACACCCCAGGGTGGGAATCAGAAGGAAAAAGGGGAAAACACTTGGATGGTGTCTGAGATTGGGCTCCCTAGCAGCAGGGCCCGAGGGGAGGTTCTTGTATGAATGGCTGATGGAGGGAGGGCTCTCAGGAGACTGGTGAGAGATCACAGACCGGGCGAGGGCAGATGTTGGTGAAGATGTGTTGCTGGTGCCCAGTCCTGCCCGACCCCATGGGGAGCGCTGGAGTGAGGAATGCAGAGTAAGACCGTCCTGCTTGGAAGCCAAGGGACTGAGCAGTCGGCCTTTCCCGTGTGTGTGTGTGTGTGTGTGTGTGTGTGTGTGTGTGTGTGTGTGTGTGTGTAAATTCCCTCAGGCCTCTCCAGGCAAGATGCTCCCATCTGCCAAGGGCACTTCCCTAGGGAAGGGAGTGAGTGAGTCACTAGTAGCCAACACACCAGCAGTCGGGCCTGGGTGAGCAGCCTGGTGGAGGCGAGGCTGCCAGCGGCTGTGTGATTGGTGAGGGCCAGCTTGCAGTCCCTGCCTCACCCTGGCTGCTCATGCCCAGGGCCATGCTGCTCCAGGAGGGGCTGCACGAGAAGGTTCTGGGAGAAGCCAGGAGAGAAGGAGAGGATTAAAGTGATGCCATTTATTTTGCCTGCCCATGACTAAGCAAAAGAGTGCTTTGGAGACAATGCCAAGACCTACTTGGGCTCCCTTTAAGGGAAAAGGGTCCAAATCTCACCCTAACAAACTCCGAGTTCAGCGCTGGCCTCTGACAGCAGAGCAGGCTTCTAGCTATTTCACTGAGTGGAGTGCCTCCATCCTACATTTTCCAAAACCTCCCTGCAGCTCAAGCTGTGCAATTCTCAACACCTGCAAGCACCTGGCAGCCACCCACGGCTGTGGGGGCAGAGGTGACTGCAGCGTGAAGAATTCTCCGCATGACCCTGCACCTTCCTTCCTTCCTTTGTCTCTGCACTTTGAGATCACTGTTGTGCCGCTCTTTTCCTCCCCCCTCCCAGCAGGAGCCCCCCTGGCTCAGGCTTTGTGATGATGCAGCCCTGTTGCTTCCCACCCGGGCTCAGATTGCGGTTTCAGGAAGCTGTGATCTTGGCAAGCAGGGACCCCTGGAAACGATAGCTCCTGCCCAAGGCCAGGAAGGCAACTGTGCCCTGTAAGTGGCACCTCTCTTAACCCCAGACACCTGGAAAGATGAACAGGAAGTCCCTTTCTCATTGCTGCTGCAGTCAAAGTCAGTGCCCGAGGACACTGCATTCATTCTGCAGACCCGATTTAAGATTCTGCCAGCACCCTGGCGCTCAGGGGACTGCGGCTGGATGTTGGCAGAGGCTCAGACAAATGAGACAGCAAAATGGCCAAGCAGGTTGCGCCCCCCAGCCAGGTGGTTCTGAAGAGTGTCCTGGAAGGAGGATTCCTGTGAACTGAGGATTTATAATGGAGCGAGTCCTAGTGGCTTGACCAGGCAGTTAGAGGCGGGGTAGAGACCTTTTAATGAGCTGACCACTCACAGAGGCCTCTGCAATGTGGCCCAGAGCCCTGGATGAAGAGTCTAGCTCCCAAGTGGCCTGTGAGTCTCAAGGCACCTGGCAGCTGCTCGGCATCTCAGTACTTTCCCCTGCAACACCAAGGCACTAGACTAACTTGCTGGTCTGCTCTTACTTGCACGTGCCTAGTAGTGACAAGTTGTAAGCCTGCATCCTAGTACATGCATACTAGTAACTATCAATTTACAAATGCTACATATGTGGCCAGGCAAAAATCACCACTGGTCAAAATTACCTTTAAAATTGTTTAGTTAGGCACCATGCTGAAGTCATACTGTTTGTTCAGTTAGCGCTTGCTCTCTAACAACCCAAAACAGAGGATTAAAGTGATGCCATTTATTTTGCTTGCGATTCTATGGGGAGGTGTTTCGGGCTGGGCCCAGCTGAGTGGTTTTTCTGATATTGGCTGGGCTGGCATATGTGTCTGTGGGCAGCAGCCGGATCTGCCAGGGACTGGATGGGCTGGAGGGCCCCTCCTGCGATGGCCTGTCTCAGGTCCATGGGTCTCTCATCCTCCAGGAGGCTAGCTCGGTGCGGTCTCCCAGCACAGACAGAGCAGAGCATGCATGATGCACATTACAGAGGACGTGCAACAATAGACGTCAGAATGTCTAGATGAAAAGAACTATAAACAGAAGCTCTAGAATTCTCTTTCCTTGCAGTTCCTTGGCCCTCTTCTTTGTTTTGGAGGTTAGCTAGGTGATATGGAAGGCTTCTATAGATGGAATGTCTGTTATACTCTCTCTCTTTTTTTTTTTTTTCCCCCAAAGGAGAGCCTTTAGACTCACACCGTCCAGTATGGTAGCCATGAGCCATGAGCCGTGTGTGGCTATATAAATTTATCAGTGACATAAAATGTAAAACTCAGTTTCTCAGACACTAACTATATTTCAAACAGTAGTTTTGTGGTTAGTGACTACTACTGCCTGGGTCAATGCAGATTACAGGACATTTCCAGCATTGCAGAAACTTCTGTTTGATAGCCTGTTTATTAAGGAGTCAAGACGATTTGCCCCAGTCTTTAATTCCAGCACATGTTACGTGCTACACAGCACGGGAGCATTTTATAAACACTCTCATTTAGTCCTTAAAGCAACCTCATGAATTAGGTCCTATTATTGTGCCCATCAGATGGAGGAAAAACGAGGGGAGGAGAGATGAGTTTCTAAGAGCTGACAAACTCTGTTCTCCCAGGGACTTGGGTTTTATTGTCTGAGCACCACTGTTTGGGGACGTTGTGTGTATGAGTTTCTGGACGTACGCTTCCAAGGCTGGTCACTGAGTGTGTGCTTCCCTGTCCACAGGTGCAGAGGGAGTTTCTTGCAGGGTCGAGTTCGACTCAGAGCGAGCAGACTACGCAAGCCACTCCGGGTGCTGAGAAGAGATTGCCCCCCTCCCCCACTCGAGGGGCTGGACCCACGCAGGACCCTAGGGCAGGCTTCTTCTGAAATGGCAGGTAATGCTCTCCTGGAATCCATGTTGGGCGTGAAAAGGCATCTGGCTGCTGGGGATGCAGGGTGAGCAGGAGACAGACACCCTTGCCCTCAGGAGCCCGAAGTCCAGCAGGGGTACAGATGATGTCACAAAGGTATGACGTTTGTGGGACAGTCAACATGACCCTAAACTAGTGGACAGGGTACCAGAGAGATTGGTTGAGAATCCAATACTGAGAAGTTGACAGACACCCATGAGCACTGGGCACGTGTACTAGACACAGGTTTCCCTCAGAACCTAGGTAACGGGAGTCCGAACTCTTGGTGTGTCTACCTTCCCACATTTTAAAAAAAGTAGACTCGGTTCTTTCCACCGGACCATTGTGAGGCTGAAATAGGTCAGTGGATGGGCTTGCCTGTCGATGTGAAATGGGAGAGTGAGTAGTTATTATGTGTTAAGAGCTGCAGGAACACTATTACATATGAAGCGGTAAGAGGGCCACTCTTCATGCTCGGAAATAAATAGAGGATGAACTAATGGAGACTGCTTCCTGGAACATGGGCTAAGTTAGATTGCACTCACTGGGCAACCAGCACAAGTTACTTAACTTCTCTGGACCTCAATTTTCCCTCCCTTTCTCCCCTCTCCCCAGCAGTAATGAGCCCCATCTTAGCCTTGCTTGCAGGGTGTCGACTGGGAAAAATGAAGACCATCTGTGAAAAGGCTGCAGGGTCCCATCTGGCCAGCAGTGACCGAATTATACCATCTTTTTGTGGCTGATTGTTGTCTGTTTGGCTCAAGGGCTGACCATGGGCTCTGTCTGGTGGCTAAAGTTTTGCCCCTTGCAGATGTCCCCTCTTCCACCTTTGTGTAGCTCAAGTGTCCCCTACAGACACTGGAGCTACTTTTCTGCTCCCCCTCCACTCCCAACCCCCATCCCTCAACCCCCAAAGCCTGTTCCAGTAGGCAAGGACAAAGATTGGTTTCTCAGTGAGAACTGAAATCAAGATAGATATTTGCTCAACTGGATGGCCAATTGTGGATGGGAAAGCACTGTGTTTGTGGCATGTGGAGGGTTAAAATCATGTGGGCAAGGCTGGGATGAGGTGGGTGGGGAAAATACCATCAGGGAACCCATCTTTGCCCTTTCTTCATAATCTGTGTCCCTCATCTTTAACTCCATTCCTTCCCTCCTCCTCAAATAGATACGGCCAATGGAATTACCCATCGGGGTGTGCTTGGGTGAACCTAGACCCCAACCAACCCAACAATTGTCCCAAATGCCAGAGCCTTCCCACTAGCTCTCTTCCAAGTACCTTAATAGGGTCAAGTCAATCTGCCCCTGCAAACTCGCCTCGGCCTCCATATTTACATTCTTAAGGTCCATGCTATGTAGCAAAGGGGAGAAAAAAAAGCACCATGCTCTCGATAATGTACAGGATGAAGACAGCCACCCTTTGCACAGATCTCTTTAGGAATGACGTTGACAGTCAGTTAGCTCCCTCCTCAGAATGATCTGTCTGTTAGGCTAGGCTGTCGATGTAGGTCTTACCTACCCAACAGCTCAGTGTCAGGGCCAAGTAAGCTCTTGTGTGTAGTAAGTGCTTTGCAGACTCTAAAGCAGATGGGTGTTGGCTGTTTCTATCTCTTGAGCATAATGAGCATGCAAGCATAAAGCCTGGTGTATGCCTGATGAGTGCCAGATGAATGGGGGGGGGGGGGGCGGGAAGGGAGGGGAAACACACGTGGTAATAATGGTCTCTGTCGTCTAGTGAAGGAGAAGGGCAGTGTTAAGAGAGGAACCCAAAGGGGGAATTTTCTTGGGAGAGGCAGGGCTTTCTCTGGAACTTCATATGCAGGGAGAATAGGACAGAGGTTTTATGATGTGGGGAGTGGTGAGTAAAGGCGCTGGGGTGAGAACAGGGAATCTGGGGAGGGTGGATTGAGTTCAGCCTGGTGTGCGCTGCTATCCATGGAAGACCTGGGAGCCATTGAAGCCACTGTTCCTAGGGTTGCTGAAGAAATTGCCGGAAACTTGGTGGCTTAGAACAAGAATCTATTCTCTTACAGATCCACAGGTCAGGAATCTTGCACCCCCTCCAAAGATGCTAGGAGAGGAAACTTCCTGCCTCTTCCAGCTTCAGTTGGTTCCAGGCATCCTTGGCTTGTGCTGGCATCACTCCAGTCTCTGATTCTGTCTTCCCAGGGCCTTCTCCCCTGTGTCTCTGTGGATTGTATCTCCTTCTGTCTTTCTACGGTCATTTGTCATGGGATTTAAGGCCCACCCTAAATCCAGGATCATCTTATCTTGAGAATCTTCATTTAATTCCATTTGCTAAGACCCCTTTCCCAAGGCCACAGGCACATATTCCATGGGTTATAACTTTTATCCTGGACATATCTTTTTGTGGAGGCTTCCGCTCAAGCACTATAGCATTGTTACAACTTTCCCCCACCTGCAACCTAACAGAAGTGACCCAACATGTGTTTCTAAGGGAGAAAGGCCACAGCACACACGTACATTCAGTGGACAATGACGCACCTTGTCCGTGCTCTTATGTATGCAGTTTGATTAGGAAAGTTGTGTTTTTAAACCTAAATCAGGATACAATCATGGAAATGGAACCACTCAAGAAGACTTGTCCAAGTGGTAAAGGCAGCTTCCATCCTAAAGAGGGTGTATTGGATGCAATACATCGGCTTCCTTTCCGGAAGAAGACCCTGAGACAGGCTGCATAGTGCGAGCAGAGCCTCCTTGTGTGGCTCTGTGGATTGTGCCTGTAGGGGCTGACGTCTAGGCACCACCCAGTTCCTCTGGCCTTGTGCTTTGGGTATGGGGCTGTGTCGGCCCAAGGTGAGGACACCAGCTCCTCTGCCCTCCTCCCTCATGGAGCACTCTTCACACATCCTTCCCAATGCACCCTGTGTGCTCAGGGACACCCAGAGAGACTACTGAGAAAGCCTCTGAATTTCATTGTTCTTTTCACCCCTTTTTCTCTTTAAAAGCTCTTGTCAACCTGTGGGACTGTCCTGCCCCTCCCTCATGTGGAGTCTCCAGTGGAGATCTGCAGACTCCTTATACCCTGGGAGAAACTCCTCTTTTGTGCACTCCTAGCCCCACATTGGCTGTCATCCCCAAATCCTAAGCACAAACGGGGTGCCAAAGGTTAAAACTAGACCCAAACAGAAAAAAAAAAAAATCAGAAACAAAGTCTGAATGTGGAGCTAAGAAACAAGAGGCCCTCAGTAGTTCAAATCCTCCCTGGAAACGTAGTCCCAGTGTAGGTGACACTGTCACAGCACTGGCTAGAGTGATGACAGATGTCTCCACCAATACTTTATGTTGATTATTTGAGCAGAGGGTTGGGTCACCAGAGACTGTTTTCAAGCGGTTCCCTTGGACACAGTTTGGGAAAACACTATGGCAGGTGTGGGTCTGTGGGATGTGGCCCAAGCATTGTCCCAGGGAACAGTCATCACTCCTGCTCCTCATTAAGTGTCAAGGGAACTAGGACGGCTGGTTGATAAACCAGCAAGCCCTGTGGACATGTCATGAGTGGACACCATCACTTTGGCAGAGTCCCTTAAAATCAATACCGCCTAGAAATCAAAGGAACTTGGGGATTTTATTGTCAACACCATGCAATGCCAATATTTCACAGTGGAGGGAGAGGCACTCTAAGAGTGTTGGTATTCCAAGACAAAATGCTATAATTTCAAAGGTATTGAAAGGTGGGCCTTGGTTGTCCACCATTTACAATAAACGTTCTCGTCTCCTTTGACCTGGCAGGTAGTGGGTGGAGAAATCAGAGCTGGCTTCTCAGTGTGTGTGTGTGTGTGTGTGTGTGTGTGTGTGTGTGTGTGTGTGTATCCATGAGTGTGCTTTCAAGTGCGTATATTTTTTTGGCAGGACAGTGATAGGTGATCTGTTTGGGGTGACCTGAGAGGACGTAACTTGGGAAAATCTAATGAAATCCAGCAGAGAAATTAAGAGTGATTTGTGGGATGGGGAGAGGGATTTTCCAATCAAAAAGCAGGAAAACCTTTTGCTGTGGTCCTCATAGGTCAAATAGAATCAATAAAACATTAAAAAAAATAAGTAGTCAGGAATACTTGTGTCTAGGGGCTGCAAGAAGATGTTATAACTGATTCTCTGTCCTCTTTATTTTTGTAGAACTTTTCTGTCAATAATTTAGGAGGATGAGAGAGAGGGGGTGTTATTGAAAAATATTTTTAAAAGAATGCTTAATTTCCCTCTCTTTTAAACTACTCTGATAGCTTGGTACTAATCATTCGAACAACAGATGGCTTGACAGTGAAGTCATAAGCAAACAGAAGGCCAGAGGAGTTATGAAGGATAAAGACCTGATGTACAATGTTTTATAGTGGTTGGGGTCTTTGAGATTCTCCTGAGAACTATCTTTTTCTTTTTTAAAATCTAAATTCAGTTGTCTATCCCATCCAAGTTTCCAGCAAGGGGGTGGGGGAAACGGGAAGTTTCTTTTCAGATGTCAAATAGAGGTGACTTACCAGACACCTCAGGATAAATATGCAAGTGGATAGACAGGAGAGTATTGATATTTCAGAGAACATCTTTTCTCACCCACGCTCACTTTGGGATCAGGGCTGAGGTATGGAGTTAGGTGGATTTAATCCCAGAAGTGCAAGCTGCCTCGCTGAAGGAATTGTTAAGAGAAGGTTCTTAGATATCAAACTCTGTTTCAAGGACAGCAACCATCCACTTGAGGAAAAACCTGATAATCCAAGCATTCTTTACGGGGCACCCCAATCAGAGGTTGGCTGGGGACACAATGATTGTCACAGGATAAAGACTTCCCAAATAAATTGCTGATAGATAAATTTAGAATCTCTCTCTCTCCATGTCTTTCTCCATGTCTTCCTTAATCTCTCTCACTCTCTCTCTCTCCCCCTCCCCCTCCCGCTCTCCTTTCCCTATTAGCATCCATTCCTACCCTTCAGGGTAATTTTCACATATAATATACATTGACTGCCAAGTGACAA